GAATGTTTTGATTAATTAGAAATGGATAAAGATTAATGTTGTACTTGAAACTTAAGTGCTGCTTTTCAGACAGTCTTAGAAGTATAGTCATGGCTCCAAAGTTTAAGAAGATCCCATCCAAGCTGGATTATTTAAACTCACAATAAATAGATGTATTTTCTTGGAAAAATATCTATTGTTACAGTAAAACTTGAGTTTCCTTTCTAACAAGATTGTATGATTACTCGTTTATATTGTTCTTTCCGCAGGAATTCACACACCCCCTGTTTGCATCCTGTTATTCACTTAGAGCTTCCCTTCACTTCGCTCTACTCTTTCCCTAATAGTGGGAGAGTGGTTTTAACCGCACACAAAAATCCTAATCACTGTCCGCCTGCTCCAAGTCTCATTTGCATTTAGTACTTGTTCAGGTCCTAAGAATTACGTGCAAATTTTATTCTGTGTTTTTTCAAAATATTACATTGCCTTCCTAGATAACTGGTGGTCTGGGGAAGACTTTGGGATTTTTCACACATTATTTCCCTCATCTTCCATCAAACTCCTTTCCTGTACTGAACAACCCTACAAAACTGCTTAGAATACACACTACCCTGAAATCACACTTACAGTCTTTCTAAAACTTTGTACATTTGGATTTGTCTTTCTAAAGGCAAAGAAAAATTTATTTTTAATAATTCAGGACATAATCAAAACCAGGTTAAATCACTGCCTCAGACTTATCTAGAATGCTTGTAAAAATACAGATTCCTGGGTTCTACATAAACCTACAAAGAATCAGCATAAAAAGAGCATGTCCTAGAATGTGCATTTTAACAGGCTTTCGAGGTTATGCTGATGCATACTAAAGTATAAAAACCAGTAATTCAAAGGACCTAAAATTAAAGATAATACCACCCAGCAATCCCACTACTGGGCTTATACCCTGAGAAAACCGTAATTCAAAAAGAGTCATGTACCACAATGTTCATTGCAGCACTATTTACAATAGCCAGGACATAGAAGCAACCTAAGTGTCCATCAACAGATGAATGGATAAAGAAGATGTGGCACATATATACAATGGAATATTACTCAGCCATAGGAAGAAATGAAATTGAGTTATTTATAGTGAGGTGGATGGACCCAGAGTCAGTCATAGAGAGTGAAGTAAGTCAGAAAGAGAAAAACAAATACCGTATGCTAACACATATATATGGAATCTAAAAAAAAAAAAAAAAAAGGTTCTGAAGAACCTAGGGGCACGACAGGAATAAAGACGCAGATGTAGAGAATGGACTTGAGGACATGCGGAGGGGGAAGGGTAAGCTGGGATGAAGTGAGAGAGTGGCATGGACATATATACACTACCAAATGTAAAACAGATAGCTAGTGGGAAGCAGCTGCATAGCACAGGGAGATCAGCTCGGTGCTTTGTGTCCCCCTAGAGGGGTGGGATAGAGAGGGTGGGAGAGAGACACAAGCGGGAGGGGATATGGGGATATATGTATACATATGGCTGATTCACTTTGTTATACAGCAGTAACTAACACAACATTGTAAAGCAATTATAATCCAATAAACATGTTAAAAAAAGATAATTGATGAAGGAATGACACAAATAGGGTAAAGATAATTGATGAAGGAATGACACAAATAGGGTAATAAGATCTTACTGTCGAATACACTGAGCCAGAATAAAAAATAAACTTATTAATGAAAAGCCAAGAAAATACTTTTTAACAAGTGAGAATTCCACAATGAGCCCCGCTACACTATGACATTCTTTATAAGGTAGATTTGGGAATCGCTTTTACTTGAGGTATTGAACAGGATACACATCTATTCATGAAATATATATATATATATATATATATATATATATAGAGAGAGAGAGAGAGAGAGAGAGAGAGAGAGAGAGAGACTGCTTTTTACATTAAATATACATATATTAATGTATATGTATGTGTATGCATGTGTGTAAGCATATACACATACTCACACACATAGAGACAGCCTAGAAAGCAGTAAGTATGTTAATACTGAAATGGCACACTGGCTATTCTCCAAGCAGCTTCAATTCTACTCCACTGCTTCTAAACAGGGAAAAACCCATACATTTTTTTTCTCTTTTAACATATAATTTGATTTCCCATTATAGAGGAGCAGGAAACGAAAAGGCAAAATGATCATGTCAATACATCTTGACCAGAGTCAAGGAATAGTGCCTCCCTGGCTTCTCGACTATAAACCCTCTAAGGACAGAGACCACATCTTACATGTCACGGAACCCTCCATCATAAGGTCAAACAGCACAGCATGTGAATAAATGCTGAAGATCAGGACTGCATCCCAAGAAGCTGGGATTGACCTTGGGGTTACAATCTACAACGGGGGCTCCCAAACTTGCCACACCACCAGAGTGTATGATTCCATTGGTCTAGGGTAGGGCCCAAGATTTGGCATTTCTAACAAATGGCCAGGTGACATTAATGCTGACTGTCTAGGGTCTATACTTTGAGAATCACAGATCTAGGGAAAAGTTCTCAGGATTTTGCTATATATATATGGTTCCCAGAAAAGAGAAGTAACTGAGATATGGTCAACAAAAACAACAGAGGGAATGTGGAAACCTAGTTCTAGCTCGATGACAAAATAAATATACAGCTGATACATATACACACACACACACACACACACACACACACCCACCCACCACTGAACATCACGTGACTCACCTAGAAGATGAAGGGTCTGGTATACATGAAGATTGAAAATTCAAAGGCTTTTTATATAGATCAGAGAAAACATAAGCGTCTACTATGAACACTTAAATATATAATCTTCCCTGAAGTTATTATCCTCAAATCAGTGTATATTGCCCAGATCACAATGGTTAAACTATACAATTTTTTTAAACATCTTTATTGGAGTATAATTGCTTTAAAATGGTGTGTTACTTTCTGCTTTATAACAAACTGAATCTGCTATACATATACATATATCCCCATATCCGACTCCCTCTTGCATCTGCCTCCCACCCTCCCTATCCCACCCCTGTAGGTGGTCACAAAGCACCGAGCTGATCTCCCTGTGCTATGTGGCTGCTTCCCACTAGCTATCTATTTTACATTTGGTAGTGTATATATGTCCATGCCACTCTCTCACTTCGTCCCAGCTTCCCCTTCCCCTCCCTGTGTCCTCAAGTCCATTCTCTACATCTGTGTCTTTATTCCTGTCCTGCCCCTAGGTTCTTCAGAACCTTTTTTTTTTTTTTTAGATTCCACATATATGTGTTAGCATATGGTGTTTGTTTTTCTCTTTCTGACTTACTCCACTCTGTATGACAGTCTCTAGGTCCATCCACCTCACTACAAATAACTCAATTTCGTTTCTTTGTATAGCTGAGTAATATTCCATTGTATACATGTGCCACATCTTCTTTATCCATTCATCTGTCGATGGACACTTAGGCTGCTTCCATGTCCCAGCTACTGTAAATAGAGCTGCAATGAACAGTGTGGTACGTGACTCTTCTTGAATTATGGTTTCCTCAGGGTAGGAGCAACAAAAAGCCAAGCAACTTCGTAATTGGATTATATTAATCATTTAGTCAAGCAGTTTTTGACCAAGAATCAGAAACCCAAGGAGTACATTTATTGCTTTAGTCTGCACTCACTGAAGGCGTTTATTACTGTACTACAGCTTTGTGGTAGTCCATTATTCTCCTTTTCCTTTTTGGCTCTTCAAAAACTTGAATACTTAAGCTCGTACATGATCTTGTGTTTTGCTATCCTTTTTATTGTAAAATGCAAATATTTTAAGGGATATTTTGACTCTAAATATGATAAAAGAATTTCTCACCTAAAAAAAAACTATATAATTTTTAATCCAAAATGAAGAACATACAGCATGCAAACAAACCAATAAATAAAAAAGATGCTCAGACTAAACACAGCAAACCATCTAAACATAGACCTACAGGGAAGTAACTGTTCTGCAATATTCTACACACAAACCGCAAATTCAAGTATCTGTAAATATGTCAAGGGCAGCAGTATCAGCATCATCTGACAGTAAGAAGAGCAAAATCTCTGGCGACACCAAAACCTACTGAATAAGAACCTTCATCTTATCAGGGTCCCTATGTGATTTATGAGCACGTTAAAGTTTAAGAGCACTGACATGTCCCTGAGATTTTATCATTAATTCTTTACTACTATGGGTAAAATGACATAACAGTTCCTAAAAAATCTATTTCTGACATACAAACAGACCAAAAGAGAAATCGAGGAATTATTTTACATGAGAAGACACACTGAAGCATTATTTTCAAACAAAAACTTCCATTTAAAATAATTTATGACTATGATAGACTGTGCAATTAAAGTGTAACAAACATCACCTAGTTCAAATCCCTAGCTTAAAGCAGAGTAAACTGATGCTAACATGTTCAAGTCAAATAGTTGTCAGTGGCACAATGGAGACTGAAATCCAACTCTATTGACTCCAGTGACAAAATGCCCTTTCCAATGGAAAAAAAATTTGTAATTACATTTTCCTGGAGCAAACATATAGTTAATATAAAGCAGTAGAAGTATAACTTTGAAAGGATAAACAAAATGATGTATCTGTGAAACATATTGAAGGAAATCCAGCAAAAATATATCATAGTAGTTAATATGTGTTTTATTCTTTCCAGTAAAAAAAAAAAGACCTTAAAAAACTGAGTAGAAAGGAGAAGAACCAGAAAGTGTCCTTCTTAATCTGAGTGTTACTATTTTCAAAGAATGACACCACATATTATTTAAGTGGCAGCATATGTTTGATGAATCAATCTGGAAAACTGATTTCAGAAATATTAAAAATTTGGCTTTGCTACCTAAGTTTTACTATCCAGCAATAAACAGAACTTTTTCACGTAAGGCTAATTTTTGCACTTTTCAACACAGAAGCAGAAACAGCCGTATTCAACGTAAGTATTTTGTAAGCGACTGTAGAAAAATTAAACCCTTCTGTCTTACCATCAAAGAAGCTCTTGGCTCTTAGATAACTGACACTGAGCCTAAGAACTGAAAGTTTGTCCAGCTTATTAACAACATCTTGTGGAAAAGGCAGCAGGCTGGCCAAACGGTCCAATTCCGTATTAAGTCGGTCTCTATGCCGCTTTGAAGGATTCGACTTGATTCCTTCAGCTGGGACTGGCTTGACACTAAAAAACAAACAAAATTCCATAGAATACATTAAAATCTATAAAGAAAAAATTCTGGTCACATTATAACATCTCAACTATTTTTCTAACAAAACAAACATCTAAAATCTACTTCAAGTTTACATAAATCCTTTCAAAATGCTCCCTTCATATCTTAATTAAGAAAAACAAGGGAATGGGTAAACTCCTTCATAATGTTTTATTAAAAACGTATGAACCCATCACAGGAAAATGCTGAGTACCTCTTATATACCTCATACATTTGTGGTACATGATTCCCAATTAACAAATCTATTAGGCGTTTTTCCCCTTCAAACACATCTATTGTTAGGGGGAAGAAAGAAATCTGCAGTAAGTTATGTGAAAATTATGCCTCCTTTGCTATCTTCCACAAAAATCATCTTAGCATCATTTATGTTGCAAATAAACAGGAGCGACCCTAAATAAAAAGCTGTTCTTCATCATCCTCAGCTTCCTATATTTAACACTTTCCTGTCAGTGACAACGTCTCAAAGCCATTGTGGCATCTCCACAGGGTCCTCCAGCCATCTAATGGGGTCCTCCGATATTAAGGCGAGAAAAACTTTGACTTTAGTTATTGATATTTGTCGATTGTGACAAATATTAGAGGTTAACTGTTTACTAGCAATTGCCCGCAAATTTTACTTTTATGACTGGCCAGTAATCCTTCTTAATCATTAGCCATCATAGTTTGCATCTCAATTAGAAAATCCAATGAAATCCCAACATTTAGCATGATTTTCATCTGAGAAAAATTATACCTATGGTTAGGAGTAGAACTTGAGTTCAGAAATGAGAAACTGAACTTCACACAAAAGCCTTAGCCAGGATTTCATAACAGAAATTCATCAAAGTGGATTTACAGATCATCAGACACCTAATGTTGAAATATAAAAAGAGAAGATATCAAAAAACCAAACAGGGGCTTCCCTGGTGGCGCAGTGGTTGAGAGTCTCCCTGCCAATGCAGTGGACACGGGTTCGAGCCCTGGTCTGGGAGGATCCCACATGCCACGAAGCAACTGGGCCCGTGAACCACAATTACTGAGCCTGCGCGTCTGGAGCCTGTGCTCCGCAACAAGCGAGGCAGCGATAGTGAGAGGCCCGCGCACCGCGATGAAGAGTGGCCCCGCTTGCCACAACTAGAGAAAGCCCTCGCACAGAAACGGAGACCCAACGCACCCATAAATAAATAAATTAATTAATTAAAAAAAAAAAAACAAAGTAATTTTTAGATCATGTCTCTGTACCCCACCATTTGCCAGAAAAATAAAGAATTAGCCGGAGCATTCTTATGATGAAGACTTTTTTCCTCCAGTTTTACTGAGAAGACAAAGACATTTTTGATAATTCAAATTAATTTCATCTGAAAGAGTGGAAATTGGCTTGAGTATAATGCTGTTAATTTGATTCAATCAAAACATTTCTCGACAACATGTTTTCAATGTTATATGAACATGAAGAAGTAATACTTTATGCAAAAAGATAACAGAAAGTAATATGAAAACTTAACAGGCTTTTTTCAATGTCCCTACCCAGTAATTTCTTCAGAACTTGTCTATTTCTATTTTTTTCTATTACAGTTCATGTTATTTCTACAAAAAATAAGAGTAAGAAACTGATAAAGTGGCATATATACAAAATAAGTCAGTAGATACTTCCTCTAGACTATGCGTGTAACTACATACTTAACAGAAATTGGTGACTATTTCTCTAGCTATTTTCCCTGGTCACGTGTATAATCAAATTCAAGTCACACCTAATTACTGCATCTCTCCAATTAATCAACTGAATCTCAACTTTTACCTATAATGCATGTCTACCTCATTGAATAACTGTCTACTGACTAATCACCTGTTAAAGCAAATATTTATTTGCACCTATGTCCTGGGTGGTCCAGGAAAACATTCTTCTCCTATATACTCAAAAAGTGTGACGGGAGCTGAGTTCAGCGAGCAACTGCTTGAAAAAACATTTTTATAGAAAAGGTGGTATCTGAGCTACATCTTGAAAGGAGAACAGGATTTCAGAAGGCGGCATAACTGAGGAAAGGTGAACTGTGAGAGGGCCTATCTGTGAAGCACAGGGTAAAGAGAGAGAAGGGGAAGCTGGTTAGGGCCGCCTTCCTTCAGTAAATAGTGACCACCCACCACACGTGCCAAGCACACAACACTGAGCAGTGAACCAGCTTCAAAGCGCTGCTCAATTAGATCACTTTACTGTAGAGTCTTCCCTGACCTACTCCCACTGGATTCCTCCCAGGTGACTACTGTACTTTATGCATCTTATGTAAATGCCTTAAGCACCATTCCATTAAGGAATATTCTGTGCAGACAGCATTTCCCATAATTGAAAATAAAATCTAGTCGTGCACTCTTGGTAGCTTTCCAGTAATGATTATAAAACACTGGGGAGAAGACAGTAACACAAACATTGAAGCAAGACAAGCTGCTAGGACACAGAAAGAGATAACAATAAAAGTAGGATAAAGAGGTTTAGAGGTCTTCCTCCATGTGATATTGCTGCCTGTCTTGCGCTGGCTTTTTGCAGTAGTCAACCCTGCACTAGATGAGACTATTTCTATACACAATGCAAAACTGTCCACAGCTCTAATGTATTATTATGCACATTATGGAATATTTAGCTTGAGACTGAATTTCCTAAGTCAAGTGTTATGCAACCTATATTACATATACTTGTTTGTTCTCTTATTACAATATCAACTTAATCATTTTGTATCTCCAGTGCCTAGCATAGTACTTGACACGGAGTGGACTCTCAATTAATGGCTGCTGATCAGAAGTGTCCAGAAAGGAAATGATTGCAGCCTGACCACAGGGAGTGATAGTGGGACGATAACAAGTAAGGCCTGGCTTGAGATTTTTAAACACAGCACTTTGTACCTACCACAAAGCTCCGTACCGAGCCAGACTCAAGTGTTCAGTCAACTAAACTGACGTGCTGACTTCCTAGGTATAGGAAGTAAGGGAGAGAAAAACGGTGAGTGAGGAGAGGTTGCAAATGACTGGGATTGGTAGCTTAGGATCACAACTGTATTTCCTAATGGAAAGTACGCCAAACGAAGAAAGAGGAGACTTGAGGACAGACCTCAATGATGCCAACATTTAGGTATAACGTTGAGGAAAGGGCCGCGGGCAAAGAGTATGGAGGAGGAATGATAAGGCAGATAGGAAAAGAACCCAGGCAGAATATTTTGGAGGTCACAGAACAAAGTCAAATGCACCAAGTTATTAAGGAAAGTCAGGGCTGAGAAGTACCCACTGGACTTGGCATTTCGAATCCACTGTTGTTAAAGCTGAAGTCATAGATTTGAGACACCTTTTCACCGATTTTATGAGAAAGATTCAGAACTATTTTGTGAAAATACTTCATACTTATCCACACCTATTAAAGATGCACCAAGTAATTAAAAAGAGAGTAATTCTACATCAATTACACCTGAGTTACGCTGGTACTTTTACTTTCCTATTGTCTTTAAACCTATGCCAAACATACTGCCAGCCATCTATTTAAACAAAAGTCTACATCTGAAATGTAAATAAGTGTCCCTGCAAGATTGGATTTGGGATATCTGGAATTCAGACACCTCCTGAAATAGGGAGACTGTAGATGTCGATCGGGGAAAGGAACAATTTATTATTTTTTTAAACCTTAACCTCAAAAATCTTGTCCCAACCTGTAAATCAAAATTGCTGTGAAAGCAAGACTTTAGCTGACTGCATGCCATGCTCCTGTTTTAGAAGCCCTGCATGCCATAAGTACTGGCAGTAACAAGCCCAATAGCATGTCCAGTGCCAGCTTGCATGCTCCCTTTAATACCTTTTTAATATCCCAGGCTAAAATGTCTCTTAGGCTCATCACTTGTGCTCAGGGTTTGAAACAAAGTTGAAAAACGTAACAATCCAGTTTAATCATAAATTACTGTAATTGTAAATGTTTATATTTTTATGACATTTACCATAAAACCTCAAAATGACATGCAAAGACAAAGTTTCAGTAATCCTTAGATTAAGGTGGCATTTTCTAACGAAGATTACCTATCACAGTACTGAGTTTTTTGCCCTATCGGCTTCTTGCTGTGGGTGATTTAATCTACTCTCACTGCTTCAGTCTACTTACCAGTAACTTGTTTATTTCCAGCCCCTGTACCTGAATGTCCTCACATTCATATTTTTCAGAAGTTGGGCACCGCTTCTCTGCATCTATTATGGTATGACTCTCATTCCAACAGCTAGGAAATTGAAGTATTTCTCGATAAATCTCTCTACCATACCACGTACACCCCATTAAGCCCAACTCTTAAACCCATTCATTCTTCATTTCCTCCCCATGGCTTCAGCGCATACTTATTTATCTCTGAATATAAATGCTGAATGTTTATCGTCATAAATTGTATACTTAACGTGATATTGGAGAGGGGATCTGTGACACAAATTAAGTCAAATTTCACTGTTACTCGGAATACAGCTGGATATTTTACTCCCCTATGCGAAGCAAAAAAATGTCTACAAAACCTTCGGAGAATTCTGGCTGGCAGTTACTTGTAAGGAGTCTGAATTCTTCACTCGCTCTCCTGCAGCCGCTCTACAATTGTGATGGGTTCTTCCCTTTCCCTCTTTTGCTATGCTTAAGGAGTGGTGATGAGGTACAAACGGCATATAATCTTTAGCACAAGACTTTAACAATGAAAACTGGAACATGAAATATGCCCTAGAAATCACTGTTACTTCCAAAATCCTGGAAAAAAATCATTAAGAATGTTCCCTTTTTCCTCTTCTTTTTAAAATATACACTTTTTTTCTTTGTATTTCCCTTGGAACCCACAGAGAATACATCACTAAAACATGAAAAATTTTAACTGGTGGCCAATTGTTAAATTAGTAAATATTCTCAAATACCTACTATGTATATGGTACTAGGAAGTTCTGGTTGCTATAAAGACAAATAAAAGGTAGACCT